GCCCCCCCCACCCTTTTTTTTTTTGGCAGATGCCCATTTTTGGACCGAGTTTTTACATTTGTATGGTCTGATTTTTTTTGTCTTGAGTTCTTTATATATTTTAGGTGTTAAGTCCTTTGTTTGAGTAGCTGGTTAGAAATTCTCCCTACACTGTAGGTTATCTTCACTCAGTTGGTGTTTTTTCTTTTTTAGCAGAACCAGGGATTGAACTCAGGCCCTTGTGCTTGCCAGGCAAGTGCTTGTTCTACTGAGGCATCTCCCTGGCCCCTGGTGTTTTCTCTTGTTATGCAAAAACTTTTTATGTGATTTTGGGTTAATTTTTGAGACATGGTCTCACTATGTAGCCTGATTCTTTGTACTACTTCCAATGAGATGGAGGTTTTATTTGTAGTCTTCACTTCCATATGTTTTCTCTTTGAGCCAGGGTCTTGCTATATTCAGACTGGCTTTGAACTATGTACCCCAGGCTGGCCTCCAGCTCATGGCAATCTTCCTCAGCTTCCACACCCATGTTTTCAAGAGTCTTACCTATTCTAGGGCCAGCAAGATAAGGGGACCAAGGTTCAATTCTCGGCACTACATGCCATGCCAGCACTGCCCTAAGGGTGGGCTGAGCCAGACCCCCCCCCAAAAAAAAAAAAGTCTTACCTATTATGCCTTCCAGCAGATTTTTTGATGTTTAGATCTTTGACCCATTTTGATTTTAGTTCACGGTGAGAGATATGGGTCTAGGCTCACTTTTCAGCACGTGGAAAGCCAGTTTTCCCAGCACCATTTATTAAAAAGGCTTTCTTCCAGTGAACATGTTTGGCCTCTTTGTCAAAGATAACAATTTTTTGGGGCTGGGGAGATGGTTCAGTGGAATAAGTGCTTCCTTGGCAAGCGCAAGGGTCTGAGTTCAATCCCCGGTTCCACCAAACAAACAAACAAAAAAGGTAACAAGTTTTTGTTGTCCTTGTTGTTGTTTGTCTGAGACAGGGTCTCTATGCAATTCAGGCTGGCCTTGACCCAGGCTGGCCTCCAACTCACAATGATCTTCCTGCTTCAGCCTTCCAAGTGCAGAGATTACAGGCCTGTGCCATCATGCCTGGCTTTTTTTTTTTTTTTTTTTAAATAAAGGGCCTGTGTAATTCAGGCTAGCTTTCAACTCACTATGTGGCCCTGAATTTATGATCCTCCTGCCTTGGCTTCCTGAGTGCTGGGATTATGAGTATGTACCATTACGCATAGCTTAAATAGAGTAAAATATTGAACAGCATGGGGAGGCTTGGAATACAAATGAAACATTGGGGGGCTGGTGAGATGGCTCAGTGGTCTAAAGCACCCACTTATAACAAGCTAAGCTAAGCAAAGCACAGGGACCATGGTTCAATCCCCCAGCACCACATGCCAGCCAGCCCCGCCCCTGGTGGGCTGAGCTGGCCACACACACACACAAAATAAATAAATAAATTAAAAAAAAAATGAAACATTGGGTTCTGCTTAACTTGTTCTGTGGGTGCTGGTGTTACCCCTGACCTGAGTGGCTGAATGCTTCCTGAGACCATGTCACTGCCAGGATATGGGTAGGGCCAGCTGTAGCGAAGGACACTGGTTCAAGTTTGGAAAGGGTTCTGAATTGGAAGTATAGGGAATTGAATGTTATTCTCCATTTTGCTGCTTCTTAAAGGCAAGATCTTGGCAACTCACATCTCTTTAAACCTTGTTCCTTTCCTAAGTGGAATATCACTGTCTAGCTCAGAATGTCATTGTGCAGACCAAGTATCAGTTTCCTTATTTCTCCCAACTTTTTCATACTTCTGGCTTAGTTCCTGCATTTTTAGGGATTCCTAGTCTCCCATATAACCCTCTAGTTCACTCTCATAATATTTACAGTGTGTGAGCCCTCTAAGGGCAAGAAAAGATACCTTTGGTGTCCCTGTACCAATAGTGATCACACAGCTTCCAGGGACTCCTGAATCCAAAGAGGTTCTGCAGGCCAGGACTCATAGTAGGACAGACTGTACATGCCTTAGCCTGTTACTTTCTTGCTGGTCATCAGGGAAAATGCTCAAAGTCACGATACCCTATTCCCCTCTCATTTCTGCCTCGTGGCAAAGGCTCTTCCAAGAACCATCAGGTCTATGATAAAGCACCAAGCAGGACAAGGATGTTTCTTTGCATGTACCCTCATCCACTCAGGTAACAAATGCTTTACAACACAGCACTCCAAACAGGAGGAAAGCGGATTTGAACCACTCCGAAGGGATCAGCTTGGAGAGCACCATACTGAATACCACCCCACACTGTCTTCCCCTTTCTGCGTTTCTTCTCCACAAAGCAGCTAGAATGAGTCTCTCAGGCATATTTCAGACCCTTAGTGTAAATCCCTCAAAGACTCCCAGAAGGTCCCAGTGGTAGTGAACTTACAGCAGGAGTGCCACAATAGGGTGCTTGTTATCAATGACAACTCTAAAAGGATCACCATCACTGTTCTAGGTGAAATGGGGAGATGGACAAGTGAAGTTGTGTTGAATTTAAAGTTCTTGGGAGACTTTCACTGGATTGTTAATCAATCTGGGTATCTTTGTTCCAACTCCAAAGGTTGCACTGAGGGCCTATGAACCTAAGTGTGTGGGGAAAGAGTGTCAAGACAGATCTAGTTCTGAGGAGAATATGGTCTCATGACACCTGTTATCTGTTAAGTTCAATCTGGCTCAGGGAAGATGGTCTTTATTTGGATAATCAGGTGCTCAAGAGACAAAGAGCATAAGTGCACAGGCGCGCATGCACGCGCACGTGCACACAAACGCACACAAAAGGCAAAGCATTTCATAGGTGAAGGGTCTAGATAGTGGGACAGAGGCCATGACAGCAGCTGGAGGTTTCCTTACCCTGAAGAAGAGCCCCAGATGGCATTCCCTGGAATTACTATTTTTTTTGCAGAACCAGGGATTGAACTCAGGCCCTTGTGCTTGCCAGGGAAGCGCTTATTCCACTGAGCCATCTCCCCAGCCCCGTGGAATTCTGACAAGCTATATGGGAAAACTGCTCGCCCAGTGAAGTATCAGGCCAGAGAATAGTGGGGTTAAGAGAAATCTGGGCTTGGGGTCAGGGCAACATGTGTTTCTTCCCTGCAGAAACTTTTTTTGGAGACAGGATCTTACTATGTAGTTCAGGTTGGCTTTGAGCTGTCTATGAAGCCCACACTGGCCTTAAACTTGCACCAATCTTCCTGCCTCAGTCTCTTAAGAGCTGGGACTATAAACTTGTGCCACAGGCATGCTCAGCTCCTCATTGCAAAAACTTGCATCAGCTCTCTGTTTCTTTCTCTGGAGCCCCTCTGGCTCCTTGTACCCAGGAATTTCTCTGTGGAAGGTAAGTGAAGGATAGCACCACAGCAACCTGGCAGGATGGTCCACTGCACAAGGGGAAGGACAGGCTTAATAGGGCTGAAGGGCAGCAATGAACCTCTCAGATGGCTGGCATGAAGCAGTCTGCTTTTAAGGTACAGAACCCTAAAGTGGCAGGTAGGGGTCTTTCCCACATGACTCTGGGCCAGAGCACCTCTGATGGAGGGACAAGGTCCCCACTGGAGCTTCCTAGGATCCCACTGGGCAATGAGGCCTCACCCAGCTCCAGCTTGTCCATTCAGCTGTTATAGATCCTTAGCACCATTCAGGAACCGTTGTGATGGCAGGAGGGTCGAGAATGCTTTGCCAGAACTGTCAGTGCTCCAAGACCCATCAGTTAGCAGGACTGTACAACCGGCCAGCATCTGGTCCAAGGCTCAGGAAAGCCCATACTTTCTGGAAGGTGAGAGAGTGTGATATAAGCTTCAAGTTCCAAGTGGCAGCCACTTCCGTCTACTATTTTCTTTCTTGGCAAAGTCTGCACAAAAGTTCCAGCTTCCACAGGAGAAGCCTGTAGCTTGGGAGCAATTCTGGTCATTAGCTGCAGGAATTTTTGCCCAAAAGTGACCTGGAGAGGAAAACAGGCAGTGGGGTCACAGACCATATGGCCCAGGGGAGCTGGAGAAGGAGGAAGGCCATTCTCCAACCACTGCTCCAATCCTCTCAATCTTCCTGCCTCCCTGTAATGACCTGTAAGGCCCACAGCACAGGGGAACAGCAGGAATAGATTGGCCTGGGCCAAACACAGGCTCGGAACTACACATTCTTCTGGTGTAGAAAGAGGGAGAGGGAGCCAGGGGCTGACCACAGTCACAGGAAGCTGGCTCATGGCTGGTCCAATATAAATTGTTGGACAGATATGCTTTTAGTCTTCCACGGTACTTGAGTCATTTTGAGTGAGTTGATTTTGCACTGAAATCTGGCCCAAGGGTGATACCATTGTTTTTGGTGACCTGTAATTCAAGAAGGAACAAAGGCACTGGGTCAGTGAGTGGTGTACTTGTAATTGCGCACTGACTAACTTATTCTCATGGCAGTACAGTTTTAGGACCTTGGAACAATAAGTAGGACAGTATCCTTTACTGAGGTCCACTGCTAGGCATGGTGTTTTAGTTCCATTATCCCATTTTATCTGCATGCCAATTCTACATGCTAGAGAACAACATTCTCACTTTACACACAAGGAAATGAAAATTCAGAAAGTTTATTTTATTTTTTTGAGACAGGTCTCATTACACAGTTTGGGCTGACCTTGTGCTCAATTTTTATAGCCCTCAGGCTGGTCTTGAACTCACAGAGATCCTCCTGGCTCAACCTCCTGAGTACTGGGATTACAGGCGTGTGCACCACACGGTGAGTGCCCACATTCAGGGCATCCAGGGCTGAGACCACATGGCATGTAGGGCCCGTGATCAAACTCGGGTCCTTGTGCTTTCTAGGTAGGTGCTTATGCCTCTGAGACATCTTTCCAGCCCTCAGAAAGTTTAAATGGCTGGTCCAAAGTTAAGCTTTTAAGTGGTAGGTTCAAGATTGCAGCCCATACTTTTCTACTATACCAAACCATGTAGTCTGCTTACAGGGCCCTAAATATCCTGTATACTACTTAATTTACCAGTTTCATTCTCTACCATCTTCCTTCTTTTTTTTTTTTTTTTTTTTTTTTTTTTTTTTTTTTTTTTTTGAGAGAGAGAGAGAGAGAGAGAGAGAGAGAGAGAGAGAGAGAGTGTCTCCGGGGCCGGCTGGCATGTGGTGCTGGGGGATTGAACCGCGGTCCCTGATGCTTTGCTAAGCTTGTTCTAAGTAGGTGCCTTAGACCACTGAGCCATCTCTCCAGCCCCCATCTTCCTTCTTCCAGCCTTTTTTTTTTTTTGTACCGGGGATCGAACTTAGGATCTTGTGTTTGCCAGGCAGGTGCTTACACTGCTGAGCTATTTCCCCAGCCTCTCTGACAGCCTATGTAAAGTGGCCCTCCAGATTGCTTATGGTGGCCCACACCTGTAATCTCAGCACTGGAGGAGGTTGAGACAAGAGGATTCTAAGTTCAAACCCAACCCGGACAACTTAATATCTTAGCAAGACCCTGTCTCAAAATTAAAAAAAGGCTGGGTATTCAGCTCAGTGTGAAGGCCCTGTGTGCAACCCCGAGTACTGGACAAAACATCGAACTAAACAATCAAAACCACCAACTGGCTCTTCTTTCACGCTGGAATCTACTCTGGGCTTCTAGCACCACCTGATATTGTTTACTTGTTTATGGCTTTGTTTAGGGTCAACTTCTACCTCTAGACAGAAGACCCAAAGGATCAAGGGATAACACTGCTTTTGGTTCTGACTATAGCTGCAGTGTGCCCTAAAGAGGGCCTGGCCCATAACAGGTGCTAAATAAATGTTTGTTGAATAAATGGAAGTTTATCTTTAGTAAATAAACTTATTAGCACTATCACTTCACATATGATCTCTAACCCTCACACAGCCTGTAAGTTTAGGGTAATCGGTTCCATTTGATAGTAGTGGAGCAAAATAAATGAGGTATGGAATCAAATGGATATGAATCCTTGGAAAACTCCAGTAAAAATGTTTTACAGTAATCATTTAATGTGATATTAGGCTACCTTTTGTTATTTATTTTTTTTTAATTTTTAAAATTTTTATTTATTTATGTGTGTGTGTGTGGCCAGCTCAGCCCACCAGGGGGTGGGGTTGGCTGGCATGTGGTGCTGGGGGATTGAACCATGGTCCCTGTGTTTTGCTAAGCTTGTTCTAAGTAGGTGCTTTAAACCACTGAGCCATCTCACCAGCCCGGATGTCCCAATTTAGAGCTGTTGGTGAGAAGAAGTTAATGATATCCAACTATTGATTTATTCAACAAATGATAGCTTTAATCTTGTAATATAAATAGAGGATCAGAGAAGTTTACTGACTTCCCCAAGTTTACATAGCTAGGAAGTTTAGGATGAGAACAATAAACAGCAGCAGTGGTTTCAAGCAGGGCAGGTGTCTGGCTGGCTCCAGGTTGCCTACTGAAATTGCCACTAGCCAGATGGTAAGGCAGGTATGCTGAAAGGGTGTGTGAGGGCCGGGCTGAGATGCTGGAGCTTGTCTCAAATCTTCACCTAAGATGAGCCTCAGAGTTCTCCGATTACCCCAGATGGATAGGAGACCCCAGGCAGAGTGGAGAGAACCAAAGATATTTTTCAATCCATCATTCTGTATTTTCATCACTTTCCCTCTTAAACATGGAATGTGTGCCACCCTTGCATGGGGCCTACACTAACCTTTCTTCTGTATCATTCCAATTTCATTATATATGCTGCTGAAGCAAGCAGATTTTTCTTTTTTTGTGTGTGGTGGTACTAGGGACTGAATGTTGCTATGCAAGCACTGAATGTAGCTACACTCCAGCCCTGCAACACTTTTAATTCATTAAGTTCACTGAATCAACCACCAAATTTGAAGCAATCATTCAGCAACCTTGCCTGCCTGACACTTTCCTCAATTGTACAGTAGGGACAATGATACCCATTGCAGAAGATCATCCTGTAACACAGCACTCACATTATGCATTTCCCTTTTAGAGGACAGAACCATGGGGCCCTTCTATCACACAGTGACACAATCTTCTTCTCAGTATGATATCCTGGGTGGAGTATGACATGAGCCAGACAGGCATAAATCTGACTCAAGTCCTTTCTAGAGTACATCACTCTGAATGTTTATTGCCTATATCTGTAAAATGCAATAATCCCTTGCTCAGACACTGTCAGGGTTGTTGTGAGGATAACCTGAGAGAATTTATTGAACACATTACAACATAAGAGAGGTTCAATGAACATTACTACTTTTAAGATTAATTAATTTTTGGTTTTTAGAGTCAGGGTCTCATTATGTACAAGTCAGATTGGCCTTGAACTTAATAATATGTAGCTGAGGCCAGTCCGGAACTCACTGTGATCCTACTGCTTTGGCCTCCTGAGTGCTGGGATTACAGGTCTGCAAAACCATGCTGGGGAGGGGGCAGGGGCAGGGAGATGGTCTAGTGGAATAAGCACTTCCCTGGCAAGTGTAAGGGCCGAAGTGGAACAAGCACTTCCCTGGCAAGTGCAAAGGCTGAGTTCAATCCCCAGCTCTGCAAAACAAACAAACAAAGAAAGAACCAAAAAAACCATGCCAGGGGTCTGGGGAGATGGCTCAGTAGAATAAGCACTTGCCTGGCAAGTGCAAATCTGAGTTCAATCCCTGGTTCTGCCAAAAACAAAACAAAACAAAACAAAACAAAACAAAACAAAACAGAACAAAACAAAACAAACAACAAAAAACATGCCGGGCAGATTATTATCCCTTTATGTTCACTGTTTCTATTCACATTTATTGTGATAAATTTATTAGCTTGTTTCCTCCCATCAGGATGTAAGGCTATGAGGGTGGTGAGTTGGTCTGTCTTGGCCAGAAGATATTCAGTAAGTATTTACTCAGACACTGATGCTTGGTAATAACCTGTAGAGGGAGCTTCTGCTACAGAGTCGATGGCAACGAAGACTTAAGGCTTTAGGCCAGTAGGGGATGGCCGGGTGTACAGATCCCTGCTTTCTTAGTTAGACTGGTACAGGCCAGGATATCCAAGTACTCTTAGGGGGCCACAAAGGAAATCATTTATGCTTTGCTTCTAAAACATTCAGCCCAGGCGTTCAAAGGCGGGGGAAGCTGATGGGAGAAAATTTTAGAGCGGAGACACTTAAAATTATACAGGAAATACTTTTAACTGATTGATCTTCTGTTGACTGAGAAAAGGCTACCAGGGTTCCATTTAAGCCAGAGATTATCTGGCTTTGTTCTGACTCTGAAGCCCTGAGCTCCTGCTGGAACCCCTTGAGTTTCAAAGAATGGTTACTCACTGGTTCTTGTGCTTGAAGCCACTGATGTGAGCCTGGTACTGTTCTATGGAGTTCAGCACTATCTTACACGTCTTGCAGGGGTAGCCCTTCCCAGCTGAAACACACATCAAAATCAAGATACGTGGTTATTGAACTGGAAAGGACTGGAGCCTGTTGCTTTGCACAGAATGTACAGTGCTCTTCTCGGGACTGAGGTGGGACTGGCTGATGGCCCAGATGAGAGTCCCAAGTGTCAGTGCTCAGGAAGCAGACTGTGCCCATGTGTTCTCTGGGGATGGGGAGCTCCTCATTCTCCTGTCTCCAGTCCTGGCAAAGAGCTTATCCAAATTGTCTGCTGAGTAAATAAAATGACAGAACAAAGAGCGGCCTTTGGTGTAACTTTTTCTTACCTTGAATAGCCTCATTAAGGATGCCCTTCATGGAGAGACTGCTGGGGAGGTGCCACTCTCCTCAGGCTTGCAATAATAGTAATTGATTATTACTGTTATAAAAGTTAAGTTGTACCAAAAAAACCCCTGTCTTTTTACCTTGGAGCTCACAGCCATTACAAGGGCTCACTACAAGGGCTGCCCCTGTGACAAAGTGGCTTTTCTCTACATGGCCTACCAGTGTATCAGAAGACTGGACTCCTGACTTGGTGCTCATGTCCATTCCCTTCTGATTCTTAAGCTTTTCTCAACTTAAGAGAAAAGTGACTCTGAAGCCAGAAACTGGTCTTTTCTGCAAACCAATCACATCCCAACTTATAATCATAATACTTAGGATAAAAACAGCTACATTATTATTTACCAGATTTACACAGGCCATGCATTTCATATTATTTTGCTTGTTCCTAATAATCTTCTGAAAATCATAACCTTCATTTCTTTTGCAATAGTGGGGATTGAACCTGAGGGCCTCAAGTATACTAGGTAAGTCCTCTACCATTGAGTCACATCTTTAGTCCCCCTTTTTTTTTTTTTTCTAGTACCAAGAATTGAACTCAGGACCTTGAGTTTGCCAAGCAGGGACTTGTGTCACTACCTCATCCAGGCTGGCCTAGAACTTGTGGCAATCCTCCTGCCTCAGCCTCCTGAGTGCTACGATTATAGGTATGCCCCATCATCCTGGCCCTTCAGCCCTTTTAAAAATTTCTTATCTTGAAGCCATGTATGGTGACACACACCTGCAATTCCAGCCATTTAGAACACTGAAGCAGAAGAATTGCAATCAAAATTCAAGGTCTTTTCTAGACATTAGGGTTGGGGGTATAGTGCAGCGACATAAGTGCCTTTTTTTTTTTTTTGCGGAACTGGGGATTGATTTTTTCTTTTTTTTGGTGGAACCAGGGATGGAATCGGGGATTGAACTCAGGCCCTTGCGCTTGCCTGGCAAGTGCTTATTCTTTTTTTTTTTTTTTCACTTGTTTATTGGTAAAGAACCTAAAACAATAATTGAGACCAATAGTATTTCAAATGGTGCATTGGAAATGTCACAACAGAAAGTTAAATGATTACAACAAAGTTTTGGCTCTTACATGATGCTGTGTTAAAGGAAGTCATGCTGAGTACAAGATACAAATTTTTATTAATTATTGAAACAAAATGACACCAATAACAAATTGTAAGAAAGTCAACAGAAGGTTGAACTCAGAGTAAAATCAATGAAGCATGAAATGATTCCTGCAAAAGAGTAGCCTAATCTGAACAAACAACTACCTACCCTCTTCTGCATAAACCAATCTTATCATTTTCCCTTCTATATTTTGTCTGCAAGTGCTTATTCTACTGAGCTATCTCCCTGGTCCCAGACAGGATCTCACTATGCTACACAGTTCAGGCTGGCCTTGAGCTCACTTTGTAGCCAGGTTTATCTCAAACTCACAACAATCCTCCTGCATCAGCTCAGCAGCGTAGGCAACACCAGTGTGTACTATCACACCCAGCTAATGCTGTCTGCATTTGGTTCTCCAGCTCCTCGCCTCAATCATTTTGTAATCAATAGTGAGATGCTTCCACACATCTCACTCTAATACACAAAATGGCAGTTGATTAGGCCTCCTCACAGTTGACTTCATATTGCATCTGACAGAGTTGGTAAACTGCTCCTTTCCTCAAATGTCCCACCCTTGGCTTTGGTGTGCACACTGAAACTTCTCATTTGTTCCCAGCTTCCTTTGTCATCTGTTTGTTTCTTTTTTTTTTTTTTAATTTATTTATTTTATTTATGTGTGGGTGTGTATTTATGTGTGGGGGGGGGCAGCTCAGCCCACCAGGGGGCGGGGCTGGCTGGCATGTGGTGCTGGGGGATTGAACCGCGGTCCATGTGCTTTGCTAAGCTTGTTCCAAGTAGGTGCTTTAGACCACTGAGCCATCTCACCAGCCCTGTCATCTGTTTCATTTCACTATTTAATACTGGCTCTCCAGAGGGCTCATTCTTTTTAACTTTTTACTATTATTATTATTACGTGTGTGTGTATGTGTATGTATGTATGTGCATTTTACTGAGGACTGAATTCACAGCTTCATGCATACTAGGCAAGTGCTCTATCACTGAGCTACATCCCCACCCCTACTTTTTTTTTTGGCAGAACCAGGGATTGAACTCAGGCCCTTGAACTTTCCAGGTAAGCACTTATTCTACTGAGCTATCTCCCCTCCCCCTATTTTTGAGACAGGGTTTCACTAAGTTGCTCAGGCTAGCCTTGAACTTGTGATCCTGCTGCCTTAGTTTCTTGAGGATTATGATTCTATTCTATTCTATTTTGCTTAATTTATTTTTTTTAGTGGAGATAGAAAGGGAACTACAAGCCTGGTGCATGCTAGCCAAGGGGCTCTATCACTAAGCTACACCTAGTCTAGCCCATTTTTTCAAAATTGTAGTAAATCATATACTTAACAAAATTTACCATATAAACTAGGCATGTCAATTCATGACTTGTGGGTGATAGGTAGTCCTGAACAACTAGTAATATATAACACTTGCCAGATGCATATCTGTAATCCCAGCACTTGGAGGGTTGAGGCAGGAGGATCACTGTGAGTTCAAGGCTAACCTATTATACACAGTGAGGCCGTCTCAAAAAACCACCCCCAGCAAACAAAACAAAAAACCAGTAATGCAGCTCCACAGATAATAATTTTTTTTTTTGGTGGAACCGGGGATTGAACTCAGGCCCTTGCGCTTGCCATGGAAGTGCATATTCCACTGAGCCATCTCCCCGGCCCCCACAGATAATAAACTCAACATTATCATGTGATTTTTTTTTTCATGACTTGATTGCTCAGTGCTCAAGTTAAATTTTGTAGGTGACAAGGATAATGGAATATTGTGTATGGGACAGCACAGTGCAGTGCTTGCTCACTACCTCCTGTGCCCACTACAGTAATCAATGGTAACCTAACTGTATCAGAAACAATGTGTGCTTGTACAGTAAGTAAAAGGCACTGATTACTAACTACTGTATTTGAGGCTAGGTGGTATAGGCCTGTACTTTTAGCCCTCTAGGAGGCCAAGGCAGGAGGACTGAAAGTTCAAGACTAGCCTGAGCAATTTAGTGACTTAGTAAGGGCCTGTCTTACAGTAAAAAAAAAATATTAACAGGGCTGGGTGTATAGCTCAGTGCATAGGCCATGGGTTCAATCCCTACAACCACTGAACAAACAAACCCACTTACACATGTGTGTGCCTGTGAAGATGGGTACTTATTGTTATTAAACAGATATGCTTTCTTATTTAACCATTAAAAACAGGCTTATGAGGACTGGTCAGATAACTCAGTGAACTAAGCACCTGTTCAGACAAGCGCAGGGACAGGGGTTTGATCCCCAGCACCACATGCTATGTGGGCTAGGCCATCAGGCACACTGAGCTGGCTATTGAATCTGGGCGTGGTGGCCTACCCCTGTAATTCCCACACTGGGGAGGTTGAAAACAGGAGGATTGGACAGGATATCATGTCTGCATCTTGTACTATGAATAGCTACTACAAAGACAACAATATGCAATATATTATTGCAACTGTCCTACTAACCTGTTTTGAAACTATCTCATTGCTATTTATTTCTCAATAAAATTAATTAAAAAAAAAAAACAAACCAAAAAAACCCCAGGAGGATCACTAGCTAGACCCTGTACCAAATACATTAAAAAAAATTGGGCTTATGTTAGTTTTGTTTTAAAGTTATAATAAAAATATTAAAAATAAAGGAAGTTTTATTCCTTTTTTGAGACAAGGTCTTGCTATGCAGTTTAGGCTAACCTAGTGCTCACTTTGTAGCCCCTAGGCTGATCTCGAATCTGTAGTGAGCCTCGCATCTCAACCTCCTGGGTGCTGGGATTACCAGAGTGCCTCACCACGCTCAGGGTTTCTGGGGCCAGCCTGGTGCACCTGGGGTTCCGGGGCCAGCACCACATGTAAGTCTGGGGATGGAACTCAGGACCCTGTGCTTGCCAGGTAAGTGCTAATGCCTCAGAGCTATCTCCCCAGCCCCTGTATATTACTTACATACAGTAACTATATTATATATTTTATATGTGGCTGAAGACAGTTCTTCACTCAATGCAGCCCTGACAAGCAAACAGATTAGACACTTCTAGACTATTTTACTTTTTGTAGAATCAGGGATCAAATCTAGGGATGCTTCATTGCTGAGGTACATCCCCAGCTGTTTTTATTTTGGGAGATTGTCTCACTAAGTTGAACAGGCTGGCCTCAAACTTGCAATTCTTCTGCCTTAGCCTCCTCAGTAGCTGGGAATTACAGGAATATACCACAGTGGTGTTAAGTAATTTTATTTTTTAATTATTATTCTTTTCTTTCTATGTCTTTATTATATTATTATTATTATTACTATTATTTTGTCTTTTAGAGACAGAGTCTCACTATGCAGTTCATGCTTGCCTTGAACTAACTTTGTAGCCCATGCTGGTCTTGAACTTACAAAGATCCTCCTGCCTCAGCCTTCCGAGTGTTGGGATTACAGGCATGCACCATCACACCTGGCTTAAGTCCTTTTTTTTTTTTTTAATTTATTTATTTATTTGTGCGTGTGTGGCCAGCTCAGCTCACCAGGGGGCGGGGCTGGCTGGCATGTGTGCTGGGGGATTGAACCG